CTGAGCCGGGACCCCCCGCTCCCCTGCCGCGAGCCAGCGCGACCCCCCGGGGCCGGGGCAGCGGCGCCGGCATGTCGTCCAACAGCATGAAGTTCAATGGCTACTTGAGGGTCCGCATCGGCGAGGCCGTGGGGCTGCAGCCCACCCGTTGGTCCCTGCGCCACTCTCTCTTCAAGAAGGGCCACCAACTGCTGGATCCCTATCTGACGGTGAGCGTGGATCAGGTGCGCGTGGGCCAAACCAGTACCAAGCAGAAGACCAACAAACCCACGTACAACGAGGAATTCTGCGCCAATGTGACCGACGGCGGCCACCTCGAGCTTGCAGTCTTCCACGAGACCCCCCTGGGCTACGACCACTTCGTGGCCAACTGCACCCTGCAATTCCAGGAGCTGCTTCGCACGGCCGGCACCTCGGACACCTTCGAAGGCTGGGTGAGTAGCCGTGAACTTCCCCGTACTGCCCACTGGGCTCCCTTTAGCACCCTCCTCCTTTCAAAACTCCCTGGGCTACCGCTTTCCCACCGTCTCCCGGAACTCCGTGTGGGGAGGGAATTCCCTGCAGAGCTAGGTGCTCGCTCAGGTGGCCGCGGCACCGGTGACACGGCCGGGGTGGGTGCCTGCGGGAGCAAGTGTGTCACCAGGAAGCTGGTCTGGGGGGCACAGTACCGTTTGGGGTTGTTCATGGAGCTGGACTAGGCGTGGGGGACATGTGCTACTCGACTTTGGGTGAGGGCACCCCAAGGCGGGGAAGGTCTGATTGAGAGCATCTTGATTTGGGTAAGGTGCTTCAAGCGCCGCTTAGGAGAAAGCCGAACATTCTCGCGAGTATTATTCATCGTGTTTACAGATCACTGTTGCTTCAGCCGCGCAGACGTGCACACGTGTTTCAGCATGCACACCCTTTACACTTCAAAGGTACAGAAAGCACACTGCCTGGGGTCGCAGTGTCTGGGTTGTAGTTTGCAGTTTTCTAAGATGACGTTTTCCGGTGCCTTCAGTGTGCTCAGTCTGAGAGCTGAGAGTCCTGCGCTTGGAGCTTTGCTGCTGAAGATCCCCGAGGAGTGCGGGCCTTCTCACCTGTCACCTGTGTCTTGCGATGTAGCTTCCCACCACTTCCCACTTGTTTCTCCGTTTTTCACTTAGTTCCTGTGAGCCGAGTGCCTACTGTACGTCAACGAACATTTGTAGGGTACTGTGCACAGTGTTCAGATGCATTTCCTTCCTACCGCCTTTATGATGACCCAGGTGTGATCATTCCCGCTTTTAGATGATGAAGTCAGCGTTATCATTAAGGTGGTCCAGTTGGGTAAAAGGGAGCAAGCTCCCTGAAGACTCAGGAGTTTCATGGTTCAAGTCCTGGAGTCAGTTCCAACTCAGAATGTGGATCAGCGTTGAAAACCTTTTTGAAATCAAGAAGGAGTGGAATCAGGCCGCTACTGATGGAGATTCATGTATATAGTCATTTTATACGTTGGAGAATTTGTACTTTGACTGTAAATGCTTTAAATTCCGCATGGTTTGTGGAGCAATCTCGTTTTATAAATAGGAGTTTTTAAAAAACGCATTAAAAAGGCACGGTGCCTATGTAACCCCAATCATCAGATTATATGGAGCTAGAAAGGAGACCTGTTGGTGGTATCAGGAACAGCCAGTCCCTGGAAAAGGCCACAGTGGATGGTCAGCAAAAACAAAGAAGGGAGGGGGTCAGGGCATAGATCAACACAGTGGCTGCAACAATAGGCTCGAAGATCATGAGATGGTGCAGGCCCGGGCAGTGTTTCCCTTTGTGGTGCGTTGAGTCGCTCTAGGTTGGAACCACCTCAGGTACCAAGTAACAGCAGCCACAAATTCCCCCTCGGCCTGACTTTGTGGAATTTCAAAGCGGATTGGAGAGAAATGGCTCACTCTGTAGTCAGAGACTTATGTTTTGCCCTGTGAGTTTTGGGATCTGAAATAGAGGGGAGCGTCGGAATCACCATGGAATGAATGGATCGGTGTGTGGCTCACAAGGAAGTGGATTCTGAGGCACGGTGGTGTAGCTTGCCTGGTGACCATGCTTCTCACCTCCAGCAAGGCTGGTCCCTTGTCACTTGGCGGCTGCACATTTGATTGAGCAGGGACGCCTTTTAAAACTCACTTTTAGAGAGACTAAATAGGAATCTTTGTTGGTGGGGTTGCAATGTCAGTGTTTGTTGGCTCCCTGGGTGATTCCAGTGTACAGCCAAGATTGGAAGCCTTTGTCCTAAATAAAGACCAAGGACCCGAAGGAGCATAAATATAGGAAGATCAAGGCTACCTGACCAAGTGGAGGTGTGCCAAACTGCTTAATGTCCCACTGGATAAACAAAGAGTTTCAAGTAAATTACTAGATTTACAATGGCCTGAATTAATTAATTAAATGTAGTGTTTTGGAAAATTTGAGTGTTGGCAGGCTAAGGTTAGCATTTAAATGACCTTGAAACCAATTATTTGTACACATGTTAAGCAGGGATTTATTTATTATTTTTTAATCATTTTGTTGGGGGGTCATACAACTCATCACAATCCATACATACATCAATTGTATAAAGCACATTTGTGCATTCATTGCCCTCATCATTCTCAAAACATTTGCTCTCCACTTAACTCTCTGGCATCAGCTCCTCATTTTTCTCCCTCCCTCCTCGCTCCGCCACCCTCATGAACCCTTGATAATTTATAAATTATTATTTTGTCATATCTTACACTGTCCGATGTCTCCCTTCACCCACTTTTCTGTTGTCCATCCTCCAGGGAGGAGGTTATATGTAGATCCTTGTAATCGGTTCCCCCTTTACAACTCACATTCCCTCCTCCCTCCCAGTATCACCACTCTCACCACTGAAGGGATCATCCACCCTGGATTCCCTGTGTTTTCCAGTTCCTATGTGTACCAGTGTACATCCTCTGGTCTAGCCAGACTTGTAAGGTAGAATTGGGATCATGATAATGGTTGGGGGTGTGTGGAGCAGGAGGAAGCATTTAGGAACTAGAGGAAAGTTGTATGTTTCATCGTTGCTACACTGCAACCGGACTGGCTCTTCTCCTCCCTGCGACCCTTCTGTAAGGGGATGTCCAGTTGCCTGCAGATGGGCTTTGGGTCTCCACTCCGCACTCTCCCTCATTCACAATGATATGATTTTTTGTTCTTATGATGCCTGATACCTCATCCCTTCGACATCTCATGATCACACAGGCTGGTGTGCTTCTTCCATGTGGGCTTTGTTGCTTCTGAGCTAGATGGCTGCTTGTTTACCTTCAAGGGATTTTTTTTTTTAAGTGGTGTATATTTTAAAGCTGAGGATCAGGTATGTAGAATGCTTCTTTTTTGTTGTTGTTCAGAAAATAATCTGTGGATTTTGGAAATCTATACAATGCATGTTTGTTTTTAAATGATCACATTTATAGACCTAGAAGTTCTTTTGAAGTTTAGATTGACATGTTGGTATATTACATTGCAATGTATAGTTTATTTAGACAGAATGGAGTAATAGAATTTACCTCATAATATATACATTTTTAATGAGTGTTGGCATTACACATTTTGACTTTTGAAAAACCTGGAGACTTAGTTGTGCTAGTTCATGTGAAGACAAACCAGAGAATAGCTTTAGAGTAAAATCAGTAGAGTAAACCGAAGGGTTGTATGCTTCCTAGGCTAGCATACTTTTTTTTATCAAGAAGATAATTATTAACATGTATTTCAGTGCCAATTTTGCTGCTATTCCCTGCTAAGCTTGCTGAGAGAAGAAGTAAGGTCTCTTTTACTTAGTATGTTCCTGGGACTAAGCACAGTGCAGGGCATGAGGTAGATACTCAAATATTTAATGAAGATGGGACACACAGTCAAAATTCTTAAATAGATAGTCATAGAATTGAACGCCTGAGTTAGAAAAATCCCTCAAATCAAAGAAGAGCAAATTGAATCCAGTGTATGCAAAAAGAAGGAAATTGTAAAAATAGAAGTTAGTAAAATAAAAAAACCACAGAAAAAATAGAAAAAATTACTGAAACTGAAAGATGGTTCTTAGAAAGAAATTGAATAAACTTGAAGCTAGAATGATAGATAAAAATGCAAATTTCTATTAGGAATGAGAGAAGGCACATTATTACAGATCCTACCGAGATCAAAAGGATAATGGGTAATATTCTGAATAATTTCATGCCAATAAATTCTACAGTTAGATGACACAAACAAATCCCCTCTGAGCTACTAACAAAGCTTATGTAAGAAGTGAATAACCTTACATCCTCTAAAGTCATGGAAGTTGTAATTAAAAATCTTCCATAAGCAAACTGAAGGTTCCAGTCATTTCACTGGCGAATTCTATCACACATATAAGGAAGACGTAATACCAACTCTACAAACTTTTCCAGCAAATATAAGAGAACACATCCCAATTCTATGAGGTCAGCAGTACCCTGATAATACCAAGACCAGATAAACATATTACAGAGAGGTGGGTGGAGGGGGGTGGGGGTGGGTAAGAGAAAGAGAAAATAGATCTGTATCCCTTGTGATCATACCAAAACTAAAACATTCACTGCTACTGAGTTCATTGGGACTCATAGCGACTCTGTGGGCCAGGGTAGAACTACGCCTGTGTGTTTCAGAGATGATTATTTTTCACTCCAGTACAAAGTCTTGTCTTTTTCCTACGGAGTGGCTGGTGCTTTACAACTGCTGACCTTGGGGTAGTAGCCCACCATGTAACCCCCGGCTCCTTCTCATAAATATAGATAGTAAAATTCTTTACTTTTAGCAAATCAAATCTCACCTGACCTGATGGGTTTTATGATCAGAACTGAAAAAATTATTTAAAAATCAATCAGTGTAATTCTTCATATTAACGGACTAAATACATCCATAGAATCATCACCATAGATGCAGAAAAATATTCTACGAAATTCAATATCCATTCATTGTAAAAACTCCAATCAAACTAGGACGAGAAGGGAACTTCTCCAACCTGACAGTTGGCAGCTGCAAAACCAGCAGGTGTAACATTTTAATGGTGAAAATGGCATGATCTTCTCTATGGTCAGGAACCACGTAAGACTGTCTGCACTTACCATTTTTAATTAACATTATATTGGAGGTCTTAGAGCTGTATGTCAATTAAGAGAAAAACAACGCATACAGATTTAAGAAAAAAAAAAACCAAGTAAAACTGCCTTTTATCTGCAGGCAAATGATTGTTGAACATTCTAAAACATCTGCAAAAATGCTTCCCAAGCAGTAAATGTACAAATGTGCTTTACACAATTGATGTATATATGGATTGTGATAAGAGTTGTATGAGCCCCTAATAAAATGATTTAAAAAAACAAAACCAAATGCAATGAAAAAAAAATTCTTTCCAAATCAACAAGTGAGTTTAGTTAGGTCACAAGATTCAATTGTATTTTTATAT